GAAAATACACCAGATGAATGCAGCCAGGAGTTAARCCTAAGCCAAAGACAGTTTCATGACCTTCCATGAGTGTTCTTTCCTCAACAACCAAAAGACTTCTGTACTTGTACCCTATCAATCTGGATGTTGGATTACCCAAATTTTCCTTCTGTCACCAATTTCATGTCACCTTTTTTGTGACAGAGAAYCAAATCTATATCACCTGATGTTAGACATGTATTGATTACAGATATCTACACTTAAACAGGGTTTCCTTTGTAGGATACTCTCCTAATGGAGAGAAATAGCTGKGTTTCTTAGGCTGTTTGCTGTCCTCATGTTAGGAAGGATGAACTGCACCACACAAGGCCTAACCTCAATTTATTTATTTCTTGTAAAGTGTGCCTTGGTTTCAGTGGTAGATATTTAATATGCATAAGAGGTCTACATTTAGACTGATGCATCCCTCCCGGATTCTTCACGGATTCCTCACTGGGCCTTGTGGTCTGGCTGAACTTGCCTCCCAGGAGTCTGGAGCTGACCGCAGCAGGAATTCCTCATTAGTTAAAGACACACATTTCCAAAGCTCCAAATTTGCTGGCACTTTGCTCCTCATGTACCCAAGGACATGTGTTAGCTGGAGCACATACCCTGCACAATCTGCAGAGGGTCCTACACTCATACACTGCTTTGGCACGGCACATGCCTGTGTCAGCTCTGATGGATCCTCCCACAGGCATAGAAACATTATTTGCAGACATTTTTACACTTTTAAGTCCAGTGTTCCCTGTGGTTTTACACATTTCTGTCAGTGTCATGACACAGAGATAAGGATTGAGCACTTCCATTTCTTTTGTAAGATCTTTCTTTTGTCCTACTCCCTTATTCAAGATGTCTGAGACACTTTTTCCGTGATCATGAGAGAGTATCATCAGCTGGTTTATGAGACTCAGTATTTTGTCACTTTCTAAGTCAACATTAAAATGATCTGAAAGACAGGACAAGCACAATGTTTTAAATGATATCAAAAATTACAAAGTCATAGCATAGTTTGTGTTGGAACATTACATTCAACTTTACAGAGCCTATTCCAGAAGACACTCTTCTCTCACACTTTTAGTCAAAATACTAATGCTACTGTTTATCCCAATAGAAAATATGAAATGGMACAAAATATGTTCATCCCTCATGTCATGTGGCCTAAATTCAAAGAACACTGKTGGACAAAGTAAAGAAAGTTCCCTCGCTTTAAGCAAGAGGATGTTCGTGCATTCAAACAAAAAATATGTTTCCCCTGAGGTTCACTGAGGAATAAAGATAGCATTGATGACCACAGCGGGACTGAAGGCTAAGGTTTCACTTAACTGCCCAAAATTTCTTACAAAATCAGAAATTTTCCAGTCAAGAGACAGAAACAAAAAAAATTCTATCAAAAAAACTACATAATTTTTAAGCCAAAGAGAAGGAAATTTTACTGCTGAGAGGTAGACAAGACAATAACAAATATCAAGTGCAGAAATTCTTTCAGGGACAGGGAGTAGAACTTTTTAAATCAGGTAGATGTGCAACTCAATAGACATAGAGGAAAAGGAGAAGAATCTCACATGAGAAACACCTGAACTTGAGCCTATGGAAAACACCAGGCACAGCAGCTTTGTCCCACTACTGTCAGAAATTCCAAATAGACATATCTCACAGTAAAGTTTTAAGCTTCTTCATTATTTGCCATGTTCTGTGACTGCAAGTCGTGGCAGCCTGCAGCAGAGCTAGGATGTGGGTGAATGGAATGAGAGGGAGGTGTCTTTACAAACAAACTATGGGGTCTGCTGGTAAATAAGGTCAGACAGGTGAAAGGAGCAATGGGAGGAACCACAAATTCCGTAGGAATTCCACCCATTGAGACTGTTACTCACCTAAGGCAGTGCTAAATCCCCGGATTTAGAGAAAAAGAACAGAGACACAAAGAATAAAAAGAGATGCAGAGGAGGATGCACATTAGAAGGGAATCTGTATTAGGCCATTTGGGAAGTCTTTATCTTTTAAGCACCTCAGCCAAGGGAGAAAGAGAGAGGGAAATGTGGCTGGGAAATWARRATAAAAGAGGCTGTATCTCTAGCAATTTGACAGAYCCCATGGAAATGTCCCATGGCCTCTCCCTTTATTTTAATAAAGTTACAGGACTCCTCTGTCTCYTTTTTGGACATAARTTTTGTACATAATTTCTTTYCCCCTTTTGAATCTGTTATCCCCAAAGTGCTATCACTGTCRCTGATGGGCTTGGTTTTGGCCAGTGGTGGGTCCATCTTGGAGCCAGCTGGCTTTGGCTCTCTTAGACATCGGGGAAGTTTCTAGAAGCTTCTCACAGAAACCACTCCKGTAGCTTCTTCTTTGCCATGCAAKYCCAGGGCATGTGGATAAGKCATTGCAGTCACAATTTGGATCATTGGCATGGTTCATATGCTCAGATTTGCTGCCTGAAAAATCCTTTGATAGTTCAAGGCAGTAGTACTAACACAAAGCGCTACTCATTCTTCAAGACATAGTAAAACTCTGTAGTAAACAGAAAGTCATTCAGGATGCTAATTTGTAAACTGGTATAGTGCTGATTCTGCGCAGGCCCAACAAGAGCTCCTTTATTTAAGTGTGATTGCATGAGAAAAATGGAGGAACTTCCCAAYAGTGATGCACTAAGGAACGGACAGTGCCTGCTGTTTTACCAATGACTAATTGAAAGACAACTCTCTTTTTGTAATTCTGTTCAGTGTATTCCTCACGGCGTGTCTTGTACAGCAAACAACCACCACTGCTGTCGGCACAGTGACGCCAGRATGTGGGATCTTTCCATTGGTCTGGGGTTTCCCCCCCCCCAGCCAGGGAAGGCACTCCTAAAATGCTGATGCATTACAGGGGACCAGAGAYTGGTGCTACATCTGTGCTCCCAGTTTTGTAAAATTTCAGAGCTGTGATGGAGGGAAATAATCAAAATAAAAGCTGCACATGTGCCACTCTTCTGCTCCCAGTTTTCTTTCCCCTGAASGCTAAGTAATTTCCATTTGATCCTCTAGATGCTCTTTTTCTCCACACTCCAGCTTCTTTGAAAACATCTCCTTCCTCATGTACTACATTACAAGCACATTTTCTTGCCTTACTGAATCTTGCCTGCTTCAGCACCTCTCCTTCCTAAGAGTGCTTACTCTTTCTGTCTCATACAGGGTCTCAAATAGCAGCAGGAACCTTCCTATTGGTGTCTGAATTGAGCCAGCTTTGATTATAATGGCTTCCTGGGCACATATTTTACGTATAGACCCATCAGTTCAGGAATTTGATTGGTGAGCTGAATCCTATCTGTATGTTTTGATTTAATTTCCATTATCTTGRTAAGTGAGTGTTTGCTTTAATTGCTTTCAGATAGTATGTGGGTAACTTTGGTATGAGACATTGTCTAACACAGATTCAAAAACACATCCTTCATGCACAGAGAGATGTATTTGGGTGCTGAGTAGGATGGGGAGAAGTGCTGTTCTGAGGGTTTTTGAGCTGGTGCTTCCATTTGTAAGTCCTGAACTTCCTCAGCATATGTTTTTTAGCAAATATTCACTTATTCTGTCTTCTTCACATGTTGTATCAAAAGCCGCTGATACATGTTGTATCAAAAGAAGCCAATCCCAGGTAAACTGAATTCAAAGTGAGGTGAGTTGAAATCCATTTCAGAATACATGGTMCTGCTAATTTGATTTGTGCCTCCGTAAATGAGGTAGAATCATATTTCAGTTTGTCTGTCAAACAATAAGTTTTTGATATAAAAATCTGAGAACCCAAAAGGGCTGATGACAGTGTCCACAGTGTGGATGAACTCTTTAGCAACACGAAGGAATAATTTGCTGCATAGGTCAAAAACTATTTTTTTTTGCCATTTTTGCCATTCTTTTTGTGGCAGAATGGTGAGGTTGAACATCCATGGCAATATTGAATAGCACAGACACAATCATGGCTTTATTCACTACACATACTCATAAAAATGGTTARACAACAGCGTTGGGGAAGATGGAGGGTGGAGTAGTGAAAGCTTCCAGTGAAGGAGGGGGTGTTGCCCTTTTTTATTTAGTGTGGTGGACCTGAACTAACAGCTATTGCTTCAGACTCACAGAATCACTTATCACTACCTTCTTTTTGTTTATTAATTTTATTGCTCTAGGACTTGCACTGAGGGCAAGAACTGCTGCATACTAGAAGGTTTTTAAAGATGTTTCTGTCAGTGTGCTSAACAGAGCCACTTACGTGTATGCCTGGTGTGTGTGTTGATCTCACAGACTGTCTCCTGCCAGGTGGGCAATAAATGCTCAGCTGTGACAGTTCTGAATGTCTCACAGACAAACCAGCTCCACAACAACCTCTGGTGTAATGATGGGGAAAGTATTAGAGGGCAAATAAGGAGCATTCACTCCTTAAAAACAATTAAATAATTTATTTTGCATGTAAAAAGGCTGTTTGGAAGGAAACCCTTCCCTGCTTGTCACTCAGTTGTTTTCATGCAAGCGCTGAAATTCGGCAGTTGGCAGGGGGAGTCTCTACCCCGAATTTATACTACCACATTTATAAATTTTTGTTAGTGATGCACCTCTATCCTCTGCACTTCCAGTTAGTTTTCCACTGCAAYTGCTTTAATGGAAAATATTATCTTGAAGTGAATGAATTAAAAGAGAAGTTTTGCCTTCTATTTATCATCTGTTTGCAGGGTTCTCATTAAAAGAATAAATGTGTGTCTCCAGCCACCTTAGCTAAAACAAGACCATCAATTTCTCAAAGCTCATAAAAGACTYGGAGAATAAATCTGAGGCATTCACTCTCCTGACAAGCGGCCAGAGCCTGCAGAAMTTGCTTTCACACTGGCATCTTTTCTGCCCTTGATGTCATGTGCAAAACACGAGGATTTGTGCCGTGCTAATCCCTCTAATGAGGGCTTCTCCCAACCTCTATATAAGCTCTGCTTAAAGCCGTGGCTGCTGGGCAGGCACCACAGAGTCAAAGCACCCGTCTTTTGAGCCGAATTCAAGGCAAYTAGAGGCTGGGATTAAACAAACACCCAACAGCAGCATCCTCAGCAGCGAGGGTTATTATCCCAGCTGGCTGGGGCATGGAGCTCTGCTGAGGCCAGGTTGTCCCACAGTAGAGATCTCCCTGCTCCTCTCACTCAGGTCCAGCAGGGAGGCAGAGCCTGCACCCAGCTGTAATGGGAGCCCTGAGSTGGCTCTTCTGGGCTGGGCTGGGCTACCTGAGCTGCTGCTGGCCCCCACAGGCGCAGGCACAGTTTCCCCGTGTCTGCATGACGGTGGAAGCCCTTCGTCTGAAACGCTGCTGCCCGCCCTTGGGGACAGATCCAGGCAATATCTGCGGGTCCCTGCAGGGCAGGGGACAGTGTGAGGGGGTGCAGGTGGACACTCAGCCCTGGAGTGGCCCCTACACTCTGCACAATGTGGATGACCGGGAAAGGTGGCCCCTCAAGTTCTTCAACAGCAGCTGTCGGTGCACAGGTGAGATGGGTGCTGCGGGGAGGGGATGGGGATGGRGRGGTCTGATRACCTTGCTCCAAAGGTCAGAGACATTCCTGGTGGTATAAAGCATCAAGAAGGCTTCAAATATTACCATTTTCCTAAAATTTCTTCCCTATTAATGATACTACTGATACTTTTTCAGGGTCAAAGGAATGTTTTTTCTCACATTGTGTTTTCCTCTTTGCCTGTGGAGTTATCCCTGTAGCCAGCGATCCCCTTTTTCCAGTGGGTTTGGGACCTTTCAGAGCTGCTTTCAAACCTCTATCACTGCTAATCATGGTGCAGTAAACCTGCATCAGTGTGTGTTGCTTGAAGATTTATTCCTCATGCACTGGTACTTTGCAGCATGACACAGCCCTGTGCACTGAAAGTCTCCGGATGTCAGGCCAGGGTGTTTCCCAGGTTTGTTAACCAAATCTACATCTTACACCAGTCTAAAATGTGTCAGCACAACCACCAAAGAGGCCATCCTATCCTTTTGCATCCTCATCTCCAGCCACTCCTTCTCACCGTGACTTTACATGGGCTCCTGCGTTTGCACGCTGGAGGTGAAATGGATGTGGGAGATGTTCTTGAAGGGTAACCTGGCCAAAGGGATGAGGCTCTGATGAGACCACCAATGCTGGCAGGAGGCAGGGAGCAGGAAGGTGAGCTCAGGGCAGGATAAGGTGACAGGTCCCTTCCTCAGCCCTGGCTGAAGGAGGGGTGAAATGAGCAGGAACTGCAGCCTCAGCCCAGACTGCTGTGCAGGGCTGGCAGGAGATGGCACCACTAGCCGAACAAAAGGCACGTCCCAGGTGCTGAATTCTCTCTCCAGGCACATTTCAAATGAAATTTGGGATTTCTTGTTGAAAACATCAAGATGTTTGAATTTTCTATTGTGGGAAGAATAAACTGCTTTCCTTCAGCCTGATTCTTAGAAGAAGCTGAACTGTTTTGTCTAAAAWATATCTTGACTCTCACTGCCAAAAAAGCCCAGATCAATCTGAGAAGGCAGCACTGCAGAGAATTACAGCCAAAGAGGTTAAATTTTCCAGTGCAATTATCAGCTGGAAGCAGACAAGTAGCAGCAGATGACTTAAATGGATACATGGTGTTACTGAAACTCAAAATAATAATAACAACAACAATAATAATAGGCTTTAGAGTATAAATCAATTTTTATCTCTTCCTTTGACTGGATGCTTATGTGAAAAGACTTTTCTGGACATTTTGCAAAAATAAAAATTGGATGCAGGTTTTTTCATCTTAAAGGTTCTTATATACCTCCAAAAYTTAAGCGAAGTGTCACATACGGACRCAGATCCTAGGTCAGAAGAACACSGAAGCACAWRGGCATACAATATATACACAGTTCAAGTAATTAAAGCATCAAAACCTGGGAGTAAATTGAAGAGCAGTGGASACAGACATGGTCTGCAAAGGCAGACATTAATTTGCTTGTCCTAGTAGAGATAAGCATGGGTATTTAATATTTGCAGGACTGCAKCCCAAGTTACGTGATCAGAATTTAGTGCCCTTTCATTCAGCCTTTCTTCTTCTGAGCTGGCTTCTCCCCTCATCTCTTTAAATCCCCTGGATTCCTCTTTCTTCTTGAGGTTTTTTAAAAATCTAAACATACCAGTAAAAAAACAGTAAGTGAAAGGCATCCTTAAGGACGATTTTCAGAAAGTTTTCCTCAGCTGTACTCTGCTTGATGCTGTATGCAAAACCATTTCTAGGAGAATGCTAAGAAGTTTACAGCTCCATGGGATTTGAATTAGATCTGATGCTTGTACAGTGCTGGTGATTGTGTCTCCGTGTCTATTAGGGGTTTTTGTATTTTTTTTTCCACTCAGTTTAATACACTGCTTGGYTGTCTGCACACCAGCTTTAAGTGGTATGAGGTGTGGAATTGGCACACAAAGCTATGCTACCTGAGTAACAGAATGGTAGGCAACATATGGTACTGATGTAACATAAATTAAATATGCTCATTCAAGGGACACGGAGCAGTGCACATCTCTGCTATTAAGGTGTCTTATTTTCCAAGTGAATGTTATGTGCAAACTGCCTGTTTGGAATGGTTCCTGGATTGTGCAAGCTCCAGCCCCACCAAGGCTCTTTGTAGCACTTTAGCAATATAAATTATCGTGCTCTGTCTTGGCACTGTTTAATTTATAGTTTGGAATTGGTGTGAATGATAAGCTATGGAAACTTCAACTCCACATAGCTGATTATTTGGTGAGACAGTGCCTTTTGAACGTGTCACATAGCTGATGGCTATTTGGTAGGAAACTGGAGGAGCTGTGAGGAACAGGCGACAACATTTTCCAAAGGTAGGATTCTGGAGTTTTCACAATAAATTTAGTTTTTTGCTAAAAACTTAGCATCGAAGGAGAAAAGAGACTATGAAAATGTGTCCATTTGTTGAAGCTGTTCACTGAGAAAAAATACCTCAAAATCATATCTGTCCAGGTCTGGGTTTTGAATATTTATGGAAAAAAAACCCAAAAAACCCCAAACAACCAAACAAACCAAAAAGAAAAAAGAAAATCCCAATGTTGTGGTTTGAACCCTGGCTAAATGCCAGGCACCCACAACATCTGCTCATCTGCTTTCCCCTACCACAGCTGGGCAGAGGAGAGGGAAAAAAAAAACCCTAATTAACACAAGGATTCATGAATTGAGATAAGGAAACTGGAAGAAAAAATGCTCCAAGGTCAAAACAGRCTTTAACTGAAGTTGCAGAGTGAATTTATTACTGACTCTAACAGGGTCAGAGGAGGATAATGAGGAGAAAAATGCACTTTTAAGACACCCTTCATGCAAGGGGGGCAGGGTGTGGGGTTTTTTGGTCAGTTCATCACCAAGGTGTTCCATTACTTAGGGAGAGGAGTTCTTCTCTTGCTCCGCCATGGGGTCTCTCCTACGAGCAGTTTTATCAAAACAGTCAATGGCGTGGGTCCCTCACCCACACATCCCTGAAAGCACAGGGGGCAGGCAGGGCTCAGCTGGACATGGTGAAGACTTCCAGAAACTTCTCACAGGACCCATTTTGTGGCACCCCACTACTAAAAAACTGGGCCAAGCRARACTACCACACTCAAATAYGGATGAATKGCTATTACSGGACCAGATTAWTTTTTTTCCATTTCTAGGCTTTGGCAGATAGTATGCACTAGTTTTTCTTTAACTGAGGATGAATAGAACAAGATTAGTACAAAAGGAAGATCCAGCTCTGCTTCCCACTTTTTGTGCCAAAGGCTATGGCCAATAAACAGCTGCAGGTCTGTTGTTGCAGCAAAAATACAATCTCTGTAAAAAATATGGGATTATGGCATGAACGTAGCTGAAAGGTAGCAAAGAGATTTTAGTTCCTGTCTGTTTTCACTTTTGAATCCACTGAATGTGTTCTGCAATTGGTTTGGGTGCACCCAATATTATTCAATTTATATAAATTCTTAAAATGACATGACCTGATGACAGATCCTGASAGTGTGCAGTGCTGTGTGAAGGGGAATGTGATAATTTGTTTTTCAATAAGGTGTACGTGTTGAATTAGACCAAGTGTTGGATACACGAGTCCAAACTTGAATATTGAGCCTTGCAGCTGTTTACACAAGTCAGTATTTCAGTGAGATAGTTAAATTTAGTTTAGAAGAAAACTTTTGAACTAAATGCTATTTTGAGTTCTAAATGACAATGTTGTACTGCTAGGATACAGATCTGCTATAGCATTTTAAAACTCAGTACAGAAGTCTATTGTGAAAAACTGCTGCAGACAGTCATGTGGTTGCTGGTACAGATTGTAACATTGATTAAACAATGATGTAGTTTGAGTTCACTGTGGAGTTAAACATAATTATCACTCCTTTTTTTCTTTTTCCATTTTATAAGGTTTACATATGGACATGTGCTAAATCTTGCTCTATTTTTTAATGGAAGCTTTTTGAGAGAAAAAACTTCCTGACTTCCTGTTSAATATATTCAAGCTGGGGACAGATGATTTAACATCTCTTCTTTGGAAGTTATCAAATTGTCAGTTAAGCCATGTGGCTGATATGATGGCTATCCTATGAGGTAAAATTGGGCTTTTGAAGTGGTTATAAAATACACTTAATTTACTTATTGTAGGATAATGTACCCATGGTATAATAAATTTTAGCCATACCTTGATGACCCTATTAAATCTGGTGGTATGTACAGATCTTTCACATCCTACAGCCTAAAAGCATGTCCAAATGAAGAGCTAGAAAAGAGAGAACAGCTAACCATTAGTCTCACACAGTAACAATCCTGATCCTACCTGTGAGAAATTGCAGTATGCAGGTGTTTCAAATCTAATGTAACTCCTGTTTTAATGCAATAGCTRAGGATGTCAGAAAATGAGCCCTTTCTCCCCATCCAATAAATGAGGGGCATTAAGCTGGTTTCCATAGAAGGAAGAAGCACGGCAGCTGTTTGGGTTTCATCTTGGTACACTARAACAAGGCAGCAGATGATGAGTGTTGGGTTCCTTTTTACTGAAGAAAAGACACTAAATTGCTAGAGTTATTCATTTGTGTTACATTTGGTAACTGAAGGCCAGCCACATGGTGTGACTGCTACGAGGCAGAAAAATCCAAGAGCTCAGGCAATCTTYGGGCTTGAGAAGCAGCTGCAGTGGTGTGTGGTGACTGGTGTTAGCATCACACACCAGAGATGTGTATGAGCACATACCAAGCCTCAGGGCATAAGAAGTGTGTTTTTTTCAATGCCATGCCCATGGACTGACCCACTGGGAGAGAGACGTAGCATGGCCACAGTGCCTACAGAAACAGCCAGATTCACCCAACTTGATGGAGAAAGAGCACCTTAAATGCTCCTGAGATTAGGAACAGAGGAAGACAGCTCCCAAGGCATGTGATCCCATCTCCAGATGAAAAGGTTAGTGGAGAAGACCCAGATGATTTTTTTGACTGGTGGCAGTACAATGGTCATTCCTGGAAACAAGCAGAACAACAGTGATATGATCTTCTTCCTGTGTACCAGAATGACCTCCCACACTATATTCTCTGCAAACCACAAGAGATAACAATCTCTGTTTTCCTGGGCATAGCCTCAGGAAGGCAGTACAGTGAGTTCCTATGTGTTAGTCACTGAAGGAAAAAAAAAATGCCAAGGCATGAATGCTTCAATGTTCCTATAGTTCTTGTGTGCAAAAGGATGTTGAAAGGGTCTAACTGCCTTATTGAAAATGTCTACTATGAGCTATATCCTGCTGTCATCAGATTATTTTTCCCGCTCTCCTAGAGCTGCACCATTGAAGTACACCTTCACCAGCATAGCAGACAGGGAAGTTAAGTTGTAAGAGAGCAGCATTTCACAGTGCTGTTATGTGGGAAGTGCACATGGCAGTAAATGAACTTCCTGGAAACAGTAATGTGTAATTTCCAGATCAGTACCTTGGTAGTGTGTTTCAGAAACAAATGCTGRAAGAGTAGTTTGGGTGGGCCATAAAAAAAGCTGAGTCTGATTACTGCWGTAATTTCTGTTTGCACTATGGATAATCCCACAGATCTCCATCAGCTTTTTGCCATTTCAGCTGCTGCATAAAGGCAGTCCTGTATTGCATGGAGTCTATTGAAAGAAAATAGCAAATAGCACATTTCGATATCACAAAGTGTTATGCGTGCTTGTGACAACAGAACAATGTCAAATAGACCTAAGGATGTGACAAAAATGTTCAACATGATCAGCAGAAATATTGCAGTGTGAAATACCACTTTGCCTGGAAATTGTCTCCTTCTGTTTGCAAGTCTCCACTGCAGTCCTCCTGCTCACTTAGTAAAAGCCCGTGCCCCATTGAAAAGTGACTGGGGAAAGAGATGGGAAGAATRGACCCCTTGGGTTCTTTCATTCATTGGGTGGTTAAGGGAGAAAATCCTGCAGAGCATCAATTGGACATAATTGTCACCTGCCCAGGGAAAGGTGACACCTGACTCCAGATACATACAGCGGGAGAAAAGTTTTCTTGCCATGAAGATAGCTCATCATTTCAGGCTTTTGCAAATTTCTTCTGAGTCTGAGAAGGTGCATAGAGTATACCTAAAATACAGATAGTGTCTGATAAAATTATTCCAGGCCTCAAGACCTGCATAGATTCAAAGGGCCCTTCTTGAGAGAGGAATGGACACCATCAGAGCCTCAACAAGTGACCAGGAGTGTCAGCAACCTGGATTTCTCCCTCATTGCTGGGGGAGACAGGGAACCAACCCGGACAGCACAAATTTGCTCCTGCACKGACTTTGGTTCTGTTGGTGCTGTATTTCAATGTGATGCTTATCCAGCACTGAGTAGAGGGGTTCTTTAAATGACTGGAASTATGACTGCCAATCTCAAAAGAGGTTGTTGACAGATTTTTCTTAGTTAATTCTGCTCTTTTTCGCTTTTTCTTAAGGATTGAATTGTACCTGAGTGTGAGGGGTCTACATAATGCTTTCCAGAAGTCTGTTGTCCATGAATGAAACTTGAGCAATATGCACAGCCTAATTAGGCAATGCTGCAAGATATTCCYGATGTTTGTCATCTGGTCAGTTCAGGCTGGGGTCTGTGATGGGCTGTAATAGCTAGGCTGAGTCATGAAGGGTGAACAAGACATCATGGGGTACACGGAACYGATAACAGTAACTGCTCTTCTGATGGGACCCTGAGGATATTGTGATCAAATCATGTTGCTTGCCCCCTCCATATCCATACAATCTGCTTTGTTTCRTTAAACTATAACCTGCTTGCTTTTTCTGGTGTATGTCTTCATCCCCTTTAGCCAGTGCAGACCCCTGGCTTTGGGTGCCTTCCCTGCTAGCTGGAACATGGCAGCTGAACCCAGCTGCTCCTGCTTGTTTTGTGACAAAATGTAAGCCATACATCTGGAAATTGTCCTCATGATATGCCATTGGGATGTGCATGYTCCAAATTGTCCTCATGGTATGCCATTGGGATGTGCATGTTCCAAAACCTTGCTGAATTCTTCACGCTTGTGGTCCCTAACCTTGGTGCTGATCCTAACCTTCATGATAAAATGTAAATTTAGAGATCTCAGGGCCTCTGAAGTAACCATAACCAACCTACTGCTGACCCAAACCTACAGTAARGGTCCTCATATCATCTTGGTAGGTCTCACAGGAGTCTGTCACAGCTGTTTACAGTTCAGCAGCCCTTACTGTAAGAGTGAGACAAACTTTAGAGCCTTGTTTGTAACAGCCCTTGTAATCTTGGGGGTCTTTGAATTTGGCAGTAAGTCCTGTAGCCCCCAAGGATCTGAAGTCATGTTTTAATGTTAATTGTTGTTCTGGTCATAGGCAGAAGCCTATAGCCTAGGGACATCTGCCCATCTGGGAACATTTCAAGACACTTCTTGGATCTAGCAGCACCAATATGTGTGATGAACAGTGGGATTTTGTGGCATTTTGGGAAACGGTCGGCATGGTTGTTGTGAAGTGAGTGTGTGGGGAGTTGGAGGGGAGGTGGGGTTAAGGAGTCAGTACAGATTTTTGAGAACTGCATGGAGGGTTGGAGGAACTSTGGCTGCCACTCTGCTCCCCCCTGCCCTGGCAGCATTGCCCATGTCCTACACCACTGCAGTGGGGCAGCAGGCAGGGGGCAGGTGTGTACTGCAGGAATGGCTGGCTGTTCCCTGTCTCCCTCAGAAATGGGGGAGCAAGCTGCAGAGGGCCTTTCTGCTGCTGCCAGCTGTCTGCCATGGTCTGCAAAAGGCCACACTTAGAGCAAGTTCTGCCTTCCTGGGCTCTTCCATCTCATTGGAGATTTTGAGCTAATAGCCTGGAGCAGACCTGATGACTTGCCTTAGGAATGATGCCAGCAGGGAACGACAGTACTGCAGTGTTTCTCAGGCTGTTATWGCAGCACTGTTTAATAATGCTTAAAGCGTGACCAGCAGCAACCCYGGTGCTTGTCCTGGTTTGTGTTGGGGCCCAGATATGCTGCTAAGAGGCACTAGTTTCTCCTAAGTTTTGTTCTTGAGAGCTGTTTTGTTTAGGGATTTTTCTCCTGTTCTTAAGAATCCACGTGAGCTGACCCTGTTTTGGGTTTGATCCTGGAAGTTGAGGAGCACTTGAGAGCCAGTCGAGCAAAGCACTTCATCACTGGCTTAACCTCAATTGCTCAGCTCTCTATTCAGTGAGAGTCCTCACATGCCTGAGGGTTTTGCAGAGCAGTGAGCACCTCAGGGCATCAGGCCCATTACCCAGCACTTTCCCAACTGGCTGAGTGTGATTCTTGGCCCTGCTGTGGCTCTGGGAATCGAGCCAGCCATCTTTCTGGTTAGTCAATTGGCAAAGCTGCCAGTCTGCTCAGCTGCTGTCCTTTCCAGGAACTGGCATCTCTGGGGAAGAAGAGCACTAGTTGTCAATTCTTCTGCATTCCACTGTTAGTTTTTCTTGATTCATTATGTCATGACTAATTGTTCCCTCTTGATCCAGGAAACTTTRGTGGCTACAACTGTGGTGAGTGCAAGTTTGGCTGGACCGGCCCCGACTGTAGCAGGAGGAAGCCAGCAGTTGTCAGGAAGGACCTCCACTCCCTGACAGCAGAAGAGAGACAGCAGTTCTTTGATGCTCTGGACCGTGCCAAGACAACCATTCACCCGGACTATGTCATTGCAACTCAGCACTGGAGAAGTCTGCTCGGTCCAAGCGGCCAGGAACCGCAGATTGCCAACTGCAGTATTTATAACTACTTTGTTTGGCTTCATTACTACTCAGTCAGAGACACGCTGTTGGGTTAGTGCTTTTCTTATCCAATGGGCTCTGCAGGTAAATAAAGGGTGAAAGTACTATGGCTGTGCTGCTTCATGGAGCAGTGAGTCCCAGCAGCAGGCACAGAGCTGTGGAGTGAAATGGTGGTGAGGTGCTGGTGGCCATCAGTATCAAGGGAGATRTCCTTCAGACCTGCTGTGGTCTGGTCCCCCACCCTGTAGCAGCTGGCACACACCAGTGACACTCATGGTGCACCCTCAGTCTGACAGGGAACTATGCACAAGCTTCATTGTTGAGAGAGCTGGAGTTTGGTCAGGCAGTGACTGGCTTCAAAAAGATGTTCCCAGTCCAGAGGACAAGGTGGATGCAGTGGCAGTGGGAAAGGGGCTCTGCAGTGGTGAAAGCACAGACCATGCAGAGATAGTTGGGACCAGAGTGTTGACACTTTCTGTGGCCTTCAACAAGTCACTAAGGATGGGATTTGCCTGACTTGCCACAGTTACTCACCTTGTAAACCAGTCTGGGTTAGAGGTTTGGGTATCTTACCCCATGCTTTCTCCCAAATCCATATTCCTAGTCTTCTTTGCTTTTCTTGACAGAAGTACCTACACCAGCCCCATTTCACAAAGCCTACTTCTTGCAGGAGGAGCACCAGCCAGTATGGCTTTTTTTCTAGCTTGCAGTCCCATGTGCATGCTGAACAGCCCGTATCTATCTCCTTGCTGAAGGGCATCTGCTGCTCTGCCRTGGGTTTCATTCAATTTGCCCCTCTGACATGGCTCCATTTTGCAGGGCTGATGGAAGCAGTCTGGCCTAGCAAGAGCAAAGGTCCTTCAGGGGACAGGACAGTCATGCAGAAAGGGAAAGGGGCATCTTCTAGTKCTGCTGCAATGGGGTGGGGTGAAACTTGGTGCAGCGATGAACAAATCCAGATGTGGTTTGAAGCCGCTCACCTCTCACCCAGCAAAAGAGCAATACAAGAAATAACAAGCACAATTTGAAGAAAGTTGGCAAAGGATGCTGGATTACTGCTGGCATGGAAAATGCTGAGGTTCTCTTGATAGATATGTGGTGTAAGTCTTGCAGCTGAGCAAGAGAATGAGATAATACACATATTAGCCAGGAGATAGGGTTTTAGAAAGTAAAACTGCTTCTTGAAATCAAAATCCATTAAAGTGAGAAGATCACAATGTCCACCTCTTTAGGGAATGTGAAGTTTTGAGTAGCACTGAAGCAAATATCCACAGAGCAGTTTGTTTCACGTGTCCCAAGTAAGTGATGTAGCTTCTGATGTGTGCACTCTTTCCAAAGATGCAGAGTTGAAGGTTCTTTTTTAACTCCACTCTGGGAAACACAAGGTGTTGTCTTTCTCTCCAGCCTTGTTTGATGCCTAAATGCTTATTTTACCTTCCTTTTGTAGGTCCTGGCCGCCCCTTCAAAGGCATTGATTTCTCCCACCAAGGACCTGCCTTCGTTACTTGGCATCGKCACCACTTGCTGTGGCTGGAGAGGGAACTGCAGGTTAGCTGAGCAGCCTTTCCTTTTMCTTGCACAGCTTCTCCCTTTTGCTGTGTCACCAAGGGCTGGCCATTTCCTAAGATAGTTTCTTACTCCAACTCACAGGAGTATTTTCTCACTGATCATTTTTTTTTTGTTGTTTAAAGTGGAATCAGTGCTTGCTGAGTGCTGAGGAGTAAATAGTTTCTCACTGTGAACAATGATACGAAGGCTGTCATGGAGATTTTACCCCATCATCTCCACAATAGAGGATAGAAGATGTGAAGTAATAGTATTTATTAATAAAATTGAAGCAACAGCTTCATGTAAAACTTGGTAGCAGATGTTGTTTGCTGATGTTGAAGACACCATTCCAATGGAACCAGCTCTTAATATTACCCTCTTTAAGTATGACATATAAGACATTAATACATACATATATTTAGTGATATGCTTTTAAAAGAAATATATGTTAACATGCCCCAGAGTCCGTTGCAAAAGCATAGACTCATTTCCATTTGCATGACTTCTGCACTGGCAATATTGCTGTATTTCAGCCTTACAGATCTCTAATGAAAATGGTTGCYTATCAACATAGCTGCAGGATCTTGCTTGTGTGAAATTATATCTGGCAAGCAAGCACAATCAAATGCACTGTACTCCCCTATTAACACAAGTTCTGATTCCTCCCCAGGGCCCCAGTTTTCTGGAACGAAAGCCAACCACATGCACAATTTTACCCATTACCCACTTACATCACTCAAAGCCTCTTACTTGCTTAAGGCTTAATTCATCTCTGCTCCCRCTCTCCTGCCTGGTCTCTGAGTTGGCAGAAAGCCTAACATGGCCAAAAGAAGTGCAGTCTCACAGTAGGGAAACTAGTGACAATGTCTTTGCCTGGACTGATTTAATGCCACAATCTTTTGGAAGGAGCTGGAGCAGCCCTGTGAAATRCATGTAGCTGAAATGCAGAATGAAAAGCAGAATATTCAGTGAAATAATCCAGTCAAACAGCTTGAAAACAAACAGCTCCATTTCTTTTTCTTTCCTTTGGAGGTGATTCCCAGCTAATGCCTTTCTGTCCATTGCAGCGTCTGACGGGCAACGAGTCCTTTGCGCTGCCATACTGGAACTTCGCCACGGGCAGGAACGAGTGTGACATCTGCACGGATCAGCTCTTCGGAGCATCGCGGCCGGATGACCCCGGCTTGATCAACCTGAGCTCCAGGTTCTCCCGGTGGCAAGTGGTTTGTAACAGGTATGAGAGTATCTAGGGAAACCTTGTGTGTGGATAAAACCTTGCTGTCATTCAGCTCTGACAGCGTGGGCTGCTCCTTCAGAGTGAGAGAGCAGCCAGAAAAGAGCCAAGACATCTTCCTGAAAACTGGAAATTGCCATCAGTTTATGTGTGGATGGTTCTGTGTAAACTCTCTCCCTCGTATTATGGAAATACTGTTTTTAAAGATGATTCCTCTAGCACAGGATTTTTGTTGATTTAGCCAATTGATGGCTGCCAAAAGTCAGAAGAGTTTCCATACTAGAAGGCATCTTTCTAAAAAGTAATGCCTGTGGRTCAGTTCTTTATAACAGACACCCAACTGATCTCAGCAGCAGAAAAAGAAAACTGTTTTGGCATACAGGAAACTAGAGACAGGCTGAAAGTCTGTTCGCTTGTTTTGGACCTTAACCCTGATATATTTAATGCAGTTTGGAGATTGACTTTGAAGTATCTGAGATTTCACATGAAAAACAGCAGAGCCAGCGAGGAGCTTGCTGGCAGCTCCCCTTGGGCATGTGCTGCCTCCTGTGAGAGCAGGGCTTTGACAGGGGATTCAGATGTAGGATTGGGGTGCTGAGACAKAAGATGCTGTTGGTTACAATACCCRTACATCATTCTTCTTTTGGCTCAGGGGCAGTGAGCAGTCAGTCAGACAGAGGTACYGAAAGCTCAGGGTTTTTCAAAAGAGTCTCTTTCTCCAGATACCTAAAGAGATATTTGAAATTCCAGCTTTAGGCACCTGCTGGCTTTAAGTCTTGCCCCTACTTTTTCTCAGAGATAAATAGGGCTTTGTATTTTTTCTTAAACACTGACGTGACTAAACTTTTGCCTTACCGAGGTTAAACTGAGAAGAGCTTTTGTTTACTTCAGAAGTTTCTGAAAATGCCATTTCATTTCACACTGAATAGCACAGATTTTTTTTTTTGTTTCACAAGTGTTAACACTGTTTTTCTCTTTCTCCTTCCCTCTTTCTCTCCCTGATAAAAAGGACTTGCTCCCCATTAGTTACAGGGTAACCCCTGCAACAGCAGGTTCTTCTCGAAGGTCCCGCAAAAAATGCATTGCTATTGCTTTTCTTCCACAGGGGATGAGGGATAGAAAGTGAAAACCATTTTTTTTGTCATGCATTTTCTCAGCTCAAACCACAGCTCACATTTCCTTTTTCTCTTTTCCCCTTTTTGTTAAGAGTTAAAAAATGTAGTCCTTACTCAGGAGGGAAAGTTTGTCAATTCAAAATTGAAAACTGTTTTACACATACTGACAAAAACTGTTTTTCCAAAGCCCTTGGGAGGGGAGAAGGCATGACAGGAGTTGTGCTTGCCTTTTCCAAAGCATCCTCTTTCTGTGGACAATGAACCTGGTAACCCTTGGTCTAAGTGATTGATTGTTCACAGAGGATGCAGAGGCACAGAAAGCCATGGCATGGTGACAGTCCTGCAATAAATTAATCTCCCAGTCCATGGGAGGTGAGCTGAGCTGCCGTGAGAGGTGTCCATCCCAAACCTCTGCTCTCTCACATGTATAGCTGAGGCCTCTTTGTACTGCACAAGAAAAAGCCGACACACAAGGCATCACCTCCWTCTGACTGGTGCCTGTCTCTGTTCCATGCTCAGCCTGGATGACTACAACCGCCTGGTGACACTGTGCAATGGCACTGACGAGGGGCCGCTGAGGAGGAGACCCTCCTGGGGCTCGAGCGAGCAGCTGCCCACTGTGGACGATGTCAGGAGGTGCCTTTCCCTGCARGAGTTCGACAGGCCCCCCTTTTTCCGCAATTCCAGTTTCAGCTTCAGGTTGGTCCTTCGGCTCCTCTGGAGCTGTCTGGGTCATGGTTTCCTTTATGAGCACGTTTATCAGCAAAATGTGGTTACTTAATGGTGCTTTTGCCCGTCCACAGGAATGCGCTGGAGGGCTTTGATAAACCAGATGGAGCCCTTGACTCGCCGATGCTGAGCCTGCATAACTTGGTTCACTCTTTCCTGAACGGGACCAGTGCTCTGCCTCACGCAGCTGCCAACGATCCCATCTTTGTGGTATGTCTTTTACCCAGTGTGACTGGCTCTCAGAGGCGCCTTTCTCACCACAGACTTGCAGAACACGTGAAATGAATTCCCTAAAAAACAGTCCTTTAAATAGAAAAGGAGGAATCATTTAGCTTTTCTTGAACATTGCCCCACCTCCATAAAGGTCGAATAAAAAGGAAAAAAAAATCTCAGGGTAATTAAATAAAATATAAAATAAGATAAATGTAAAATAGAAAATAATGTAAAATATAAAATAAGATTCTAGGGAGAAAAGCTGCTATTTCAAGTCATGCTGCCCTGAATCCTTTCATTAGGTKGTATCTAAATTTAATGGCTTATATCACACAATTTTCAACAACAAGGTAAAGTGGAAATGGGACTAGTCATTTTAAAACAGTAGACTGAATAGTTTGTTGTTCTGTTTCAAAATTCAAAGGCTAAAAGGAAGTCCACTTGTGCCATGGTCTCTTGGGAAATAGAATGTGATTTCACTGGTGCATCAGAGTAGCACTGCACTGCCATGAGCAGAGCAAACACCACCGTGCAAATAAAAAGCCAGTAGTTGACTCTGCTTATACATCTTTCTAATAAATTAATGCTAATTTATTTTCCTTTTTGTTAGATTAAACCACAGTGCTTACATACATAAATTCTTTATATATTATATCTATACTTGATGTAGATATATTTATTTCTTACATTTATTTTAAGTTTTCAATCTTTTGTTGGAGAAATTAGTCCAAATACTTACTTAGTGGCTCTCCAGATTGTTTCCTTAATAATTCTCTGATTCCTGCATTAGTTTCTTTCTTTCACTGTGAAATTCATTTCACTGTGCTGTGATTTTGTACACAAGATTATTTYCTCTAGGATATTTTCCAAGTTTTTTCCAGAATTGTAATTAAAAAAAACATGAGTACATTAGAAATTAGTTTCAGACATTTGTAATAAATAAATTTGACTTTCCTGTGTTAGTTAATTATAGATCTATACACTCACCTGATCAAATTCATGGGCACCTGGAGCTGTGGAGCTGGTGGCACATGCTCTAAAATGAGCATGATGGAGTCAAATTTCCTGCAACTTTCCATACTTGTTCAGAAATGAGAAAGATTAAAATAATTTTGAAAGGCACATTCACCTGGATGAGCTCAGTGGTTCCTCACCTGAGAAGGTTCACCTACCCATGTGATGTGAGCTGATGTCAAACTATCTGGAGAAAGATGTGAATAAGCAGAAACAAGGGTGCATAAAGCAAAATATCCCAAGTGGAAAATCAGTTTAGTCTACTCTTGAGCTTTYCTGCTTTCCCATTCTGTAAATCCCATCTAAATTAGTTTACCCTCTTCTATCTCTTTCAAAAACTGGACCCACCTTCTATGTTTGTTGAGTGTTTTAAAGCTGTTTGAGTTCTGAAAGAGCTTAATAAATGTGTGTGCCCATGCTGAATTTGCAGGTTCTTCACTCCTTTACTGATGCCATCTTTGATGAGTGGATGAGGCGTTTCAGGCCCCCTGGCAACGCTTGGCCTGAGGAGCTGGCCCCCATCGGCCACAACCGGCGCTATAACATGGTCCCGTTCTTCCCTCCGGTGACCAACGATGAGCTCTTCCAAACTGCGGAGCAGCTCGGCTACACCTATGCCATTGACCTGCCAGGTAYGTCTCAGGATCAGGCAGCTCACGTTTTCCATGACACAGGCATGTATGAAATAAGGAACCTTTCACAAAACCACAGGTCTATTCACCTGCTCACTACACAACATTAATATTTGGATACCTGGACAGATGTACCTGCGTGTTTTCTGCTGTAAGCCCCCATAGCTGGGATGTGCTTTAGGGTTTGTCTATTCATTTGAAATTACCTTTGACACAAATCGGACAAAGACAAAATAGCAAGAAAGCAAAGTATTTATGCACGAAATCYGAATTTGCRACAAGATATTAAAATATTTGTAAAWGRCAGGAGAGTAAGAACTGCATRAAAATCATGCTTCAGCTGCTTTYCCAAAGATTAAATCTGAGCAGTTTCTTTCTCCATTTCAGTATTACTTTGAGAGGCAGTAGGTCCTTATCTAACCTGTGGCGGCAGGATTTTTTTTCTAAATGCTTACCATATATCAGTGGTTTTAATCYGTGGAGACTGTTTAAAGGTTTATAGACTGGAAAAGATTGAAACCCTTGTCCTCAGGCTGCATTCATGCAGGGGAGCCCTGATTTGTGGGGGCATGCTAGCTGCTTCTCCAGTGCTTTTCTCAGGGGCATCCCCAGAATTTTCCCTGAAAATTTAAACTTCCCCTCTTGTGGAGTTTCAGCTTTCCTCCATTTGGACTACAGTTCCCTTCTCCTGCTTTGAAAATGTGGGTGCCCTTTTGGTATGAGGCACCCAGACAGGAACACAGGCAGCTTGTGACTCTTCTGCTTTCCAACTCACACCTAAATAAATTGTTAGCTCTCTGTGAAGGAGCGTATCCATCCTGGTCTGCGTGGCCTGTGTTCAAACAATAAAGCTTTTAYATCCAAACCCTTCTCTTTTATCTAAAAGACTAACTTGCTAATTGTACTTCAGGTAATCACATTAGAAATAAACATATATTAATACCTTGGTGGTTCTTACCTGAAAGGTGGAAAAGTGGTAAACAATTCATTTTGGGGCTTTGTTAATTTTTTKAATGATTGCCCTCAATTTTTTGAAGACTGCAGATTGGGGCACAAGACTTTTAGTTGCTTTTATAGCCAGTGTGACCTCTCCCTGAGCCATCTGTCTTCTCTAACCCATATGTCTAGATAACTTTTAAATATGTGCAGTCTTCTTGAGAGCTTTTTGGTGATTGTTTAGTCAAACGTGATTATTGCCATCTCAATACATATAGCATTCTTCACAAAAGGAGAGCAGGCAATTTTTGCTTCTGAAAGCATAAATGAAAACACAAAAATTCAGTCAAGTGGAGCTGTGTTACTATAGGGATAAGCAATATTATCTAAGAAGACAGTGGTTCCTCAGAAGTGGTTCAAAATCAGCAGATGCAATCTGKAGCTGGTCAGCAGAACCACAATAAGTAGTGTTTTCAGTTAGAAGTTTGACAATAGGYTGCTTTGTGGTCTTTATGAAAATATGAGGATTTTCTGTTGACCAAAATAGCTTGAAAGCAGCTGTCTTGAAATGTCACTATAGAAAGGATTACTTAAATCGTTCATAATTTTGGCCAAATTAGATGAAAGAATGATCTTTTTGTCTTATCAATGTTAATCTTTCTCCTTCCCAATTGTTGAATTGTTGAAGTTTAAAATAAAAAATAAAAGACTTCTCTGTCAGGAAGCATCTCCAGCTCTYACATGTGCCTCAGTTATGTGGTGTTTTATGAGCTTTGCCTGTGGCCAGTGGGCAACTAAGCTGCACAAGCATTCGTCATTATCAGCCTGTAGGAAATATTATTTATTCTGTGTGAAATATATTATTCTTACAACACTGAATTATGGGCTGTCCTCACTTCAGTCGTTTCATATTTCCAGGTTCCCTTGAAGATACCCAAGCATGGGCTGTCATGGTTGGATCCACAATTGGAGGAGCACTTCTAGCTCTGGCCGTGCTTGTTCTGCTGCTTGTACTTTTCCAGCACCGAAGGCACAGAAGAGGTTTTGAACCACTGATGAATGTGAGCTTCAGCCCCAAAAAGTACATGGGAGAGGCTTAGTGTCCTCGCTCTCTTTCTTTGCTTGTGCTTGTAGGAAGTGACTTTGATTGCCTTAYGGAGATTTTAGCTGAGACTTTATCACACACTCCTTTGGCAGCTGACTAATTGTTCTCATTCAGGTTTTTCCCATTATCTTGTGAATTTTAAGATGTTGAGTCTTTGGGTACGTATGAGCAAGGCCCAGGTTAGCTAGAATTTTCTCATTGCTAAATGTTATCTGGAGTGTGTGACACTTGTCAATCATCCTCTGTAGATTTAGATCRAGACAGCTAAGAATCCAAATAGGAGAAGACCAACTTGAATAACCAAGATAATTTTTTACCTCAATGTGTTATTGATTTCACTTAGGAGCATTAAGATGAGCTAAAAGTTATTAATTCTASATGTATATTTGAATAACATTTTACAGTTATCAACAAATATTCTGAATAACACAGTCTTGTTTGAAGGCTCAAAATGTTTCATGCTGTTTGATAAAACACTATAGGAACCTTCTGGTTACAGTTTATTTCAGAAACATGATCAATTCTATATTTTATTTCCAATAAAGTTGATGATAGCAACAATTAAACTCCAAAACTCCAGTTCTCCTGAAGTTTAAGAGCAGGAGTTCCCTGACACCTAGATATACACTTGTGTTTTACGTCTGTGTTAGGGACCTTGGCTGAAGGTGGGAATTAACTTTTTTTGCCTCCGATGCACTGTTCTGTGAATCTGGACTGAAACTTCCAAATTTCCAAAGTCTAGGATGCAGGACTCAAGGCAACAAGACTAAGACAGCTTGAATTATTCAGATGTGCAGGTGTGGAATCAGGTTTGGATGTGGCAGTTGCTAGACTTTATACATTCCCTATATATTCCTTTATACATTGCCTATATAGTTCTTTATTTAGACATAGATTTGAAGCCCATTTGTATGGCTCTCCTGTGTTATCTTGAAAAGGTTTTCTTTTTTTTTACATACCAAATGATATCTTGAAAAGATCCTATCAGCTTTGGTGCTTGACATACTACATTAATGGAGTGTTCAGACTTTGTATGTTGTRGGGCCCTGAGTCTTGTGAAACTTTTGCTTTTGTAGCCTTGAATAAAAAAAATTTGGTTAGTAACAGTTTCTGCTATTTTTTTAGGCTTGCTTGATAGTGCCTATGAGGACTAGAAATAAGATATCAGTAGGTTTTCATATACACTTAGCTTTGAATATGTGTAACACACAAAACTTACCCCTGAAATACGTACTTTTTGGGGCAAACAAAATTGTGATCTGCTCACCAYACACTCAGATAGCCCCTTCTCCATCAGGTGGAAAAAAATCTGCTGCCATTTCTGATGTTTCGTGGTGTCTTTGGGGGATCCCAGTGCTCTTGTTCCTGGATTATGCCCAAGATGTCAAAGGTTGAAACACGTTTTGTACAGCAGCTCATCTCAGTACCTTAGCTCCCAACTCAGGCTGCCTTTTGGGATTTTTTGTTATTTAGGGACCAGTGTTATCTGATGCTGAAGACACTAGATGAAGTCTCCGAAGCAGAGCTTGCACATGTCATATAAGTTGACCCTGATCAGTGTGAGAAGGTCTGAGATCTCCATGTGCCTTTATCAATGAGTTGTCAGCTGTCTTCCAGCACTACAAGACTACGGATAATTTTATAGACTCACAGAGGATTTTGGGTCCAGATCATCTAGTCCAGCTCCTCTGTAATGAGCAGGGACATCTTTGAATAGCTCAAGTTAGAGCACTGTTCAACCTGACCTTGAATGTTTKCAGGGAYAGGGCATCCACCACCTCTCTGGGCAAACTGTTCCAGTGTTTCAACATCCTTATTATAATAAAGGTATTCCTTATGTCCAGTCTAAATCTACCCTCTYTTAGTTTGAAACCAWTATCCCTTGTCCTATTACAACAGACCCCACTAAAAATTTTGTCTCCATCTTTCTTGTAAGCCCCATTTGAGTACTGACACAGTGCAACTTCTGGAGACTTCTTTTCTCCCAAAACATGCACCAGCTCATGCTAAACACTGATTTAGGGAGTTGCTGTTGGATGGAGATTGACACATTTTTGTCCTTCATGGGATGTGGATGCCAGAGTTTAGAAGGCATTTTAGACTGCTGTTTCCAATGGTGGATGAAAATTTTCATTGTGGTCACAGGGTGCACAACAAGCTTAATCAGCCTGGAGGTTTGGGTGCTGCTGTCCCAAAGGTTTGCTTTGAAAGCTGCCCTGGTTATGGGGAATTAACAGTGTCAGTGGGCTACAGGAAGGAAAGAAAGAGGGGAGAAATATAAAAAATGTAGCACAGCAGCTAACTTGTTAGAACAGATTTTGCGTAAGAGCCTGTGGGTAAAGCAAAGGAGAGTTGTTCCCATATCACATGTAAACTGAGTGGAAAGGTATTTTCCTTTCCAGAAGAAAAGCAATGAGGGCATCAGATTGATGCAATGCACACAACGGGTACTAGGGTCAAAGACCTGCACATTCCTCTTTTCACTGGCTGCGGCTTAGTTTGGTAATTAAGGCTTTAAAACTGTGGCGGGTTTAACAACTGCTTATAAAAATCTGCAGCTGTATCGAGAGCACAACCTGCCCTCTCGTGGCTTATTGAAAAATTACCTGGTGACGCCAGAAAGCTCTTTTTCTCCCTCTTAAAAAAGTACAGTATTGGTCCAGCAACCAAGAAAAATTGTATCTTTGGTGAAGGAAAGAAGCACAGGTCAGCTGTCTATGAAATGCTTAAAAATAAAGGTAATTGAGAATAGACACTTTGAAGCATGGGTGATGGGTGGAGGAAATCCTTCAACAACTCTGATTGTAAAGGTTTGTTTTTACAAGTTGTGATACTCCATTCATCCCAAACTATAGAAGAGGCTTTTTTTTTTTTTTTTTTTTTTTTTTTTTTTTTCTGGTTARTGCAGGTGTTATTAAATACCTTTTTKCATAAATTGTCCTGAGGCTGCTGGGGTGGGATGAAGAGGGATGCTGAGAGGCTCCCATAGATGCCTAAACTGAGGAAAATAATGCTGAAAACAAAACATCCCCAATCTCCACACAGGCCAGACACCCTGGAATTTTCATTCTACAAATCAGTGCAAAGCATAACCTCAGCTGATGCCCRTGGGCTACCTCAGGCCTTCACTTTTTCCTCTCACATTCATAACTAAACAGTCACACAGCTCAGCCCAGGGAGGAAGGATAAGACATCAACACATCTGTCTTTGTGGTTGCTTTTTACTCAGGGCACATCTTTGACAGGTGGGAGGTGCTCTGCTGATAGGTTTCAAGCTAAGATGGGTGTAATCATCACCACCCCTGCCCCCCTYTGAAATAATTCCTTCTGAACTGATGCTTTCTTCTGAGAAAACACTCTGAATCACRCAGGAGTGCATAACAGCTGCAAATGAGATGTTTGAGCTCTGGAGATGTGCTCAAAAACATCCCTTCCTCAGCCTTTTTTGTTAGCTAGACCCATGCAGCTTTCAGCTTTGCATGGAGGGCTTTTGTGTGGATATCTCTCTGAGGAGCTTAATGCTCTCTGGTCTCTAGTCAATTCTCTCTCTACCTGGCTGTACTGGATCTGTGGGCAGCTAATGCCTCTTTCTGAGTCACCCAATRGGTCAGGTGCCTAAATTTTGACACTGTAGTAAGTGGATGAAATCCATATCATCACTGTCAGTCACAGCCTGTGCCTTTGTGAAAATGATTATCATGAATATATTCTTAAGGAATTAGTGAGAACYTGTTTTCTGAATTAAATTAAATCTCATTCCTGGCTGTTTAGCTAAAGGCTTGGAATGGAATTTGTTCCAATTCTGCCCCGATTTAGGAAAGAAGTGACATAAAGCTACTACATCTCTTGGCTATTGTTGTAAAATGGTAAGTTGCAATACCATCACTGACTTCTGGGGCAGACACCTGCCTATGCTTGCAGTGGCAGAAAAGGGAAAGAAAAGAAGCAGATTGGAAGACTGTCAGCTAAATTYAGCAGTGAAAGCACACACTTGGAGAACCAGGCATGGAGGCTGATAGCTACCAGGAAGGAAACTTGTTTTCCTGAAATGCTGGCTGTGCCCTGCCATGCAGTGCATGCAGCCAGTGATATGCCCTGCACACAGCTGCCTGCACTAAGTCAGGTTATGAACGAAGCTGTGTCTATAATCCTGCTCTGTTTCAGTGCTCCTGCAGCTGAAACTCAGCAGATATTTATTATCCAGAGTTTCTTACTGAAATTAGGCTTTCCAAGACCTGGGTGGACAGAAAACATGGTASCAATGCTGTCCATCTTTCTAACACACCAGCTTCTTCCTGTGAAGGGGCATTCACCTTCTCTTCTTAAGGCTGAAAGACCACAGACAGCAAAAGTACCTCTATATCTGGCTTCAAATTAACASAACATATAAATCATTGCACTGTATAGATCCAAAACTATGCTCCAGTACCAGAAGAGTATGGATGAAATAAGAAAAGAAAGCTCCAGGTATTCACCTAATTGGAGAATCTGGAAGTTTGGRTTATTTTGCCTGTCCTGATCTTCTTCACAAATCCCATTTGCACTTATGATGACATTACCATYGCCATGTGTTCCCACTTCAGAGGTCTCATTTGTCCTTGGGCCAGGACAGATGGGTTTTGCAGATAGAAACAAAGGTAAATCTGACTATGAGAGTGAGAAACCTCAACACACCAAGCTTTTGAGTAAAGAGCAAATAAGCAGTCAGGTCTCTTCACATCACATAATCCATCCCTGTTCATCTCTCCTCCCTTCACTGCCTTGCTGTCTCTGGCCTGTGGACAAATTGATGAACCCTGGACCAAATTCAACAGGCAGAAGGGAAAGAAAATATGGGTGGACTGCAGCCACTGCCCTTGGCAGTACTTCCAAGTGCCTAAATAAAAGAGGCAGTCACTAGGTGTGCAGCCCTTATCTCTGCCCTCAGGCTTTCTCACAGACAAGATTAAAAAGATCCTTTCCAGCACCATGGTTCTGCCTGCCATGGATCTCCTTCTGTGGATCCTGATTTTCTGCGGGTGTATAGTAGAGAGCTCAGCTGTCTGTTCTGGATTTGGTGAATTGTGTTATGTGGATTTATGACTGGGAGACAAATGCTTAAATATTCAGTGGTGAGGCCACAAAATCTCCCTTGTAGCTTCCTTCACCAGGTGATTTCATTGCTGCATGCAGGCTGCTTCCAGGCCATCCATCTCTGTTTGGTCCATACTGTCTCTTACCAGATTTTTTTTTTTTTTAATTTTTTTACTTAGAAGATCTCCTGAGGTTTCTTGCTTTTTTTCTTCCCCCATGACTTCTACTTGAAAACACCTTTCAGCAGCTTTATATTTATGAGGAGCGTTGTGTGTATTATTGTTCAAGTRTCTCTAAGAGTTTCACAGTTGCCTCCTCTGCCTGAGTTAACTGAAAAGCTGCTAAACACAAATGCTCAAAAGTTGCTCTTGTCAGYAATAAGGCTCAGAGTTCAGTGCTCATTTACACTGTACCTATCTGCTGGTAAGAAAGAAGTATACCCTGGTGGMTGTGCTAGGACAGACAAACATAAAGATAAAAGGTATAATTCTACTTATAATTGAAAAGGGAGGGGAAAAGTGGTACTTTTCGTTTCAGTCTTGGCCTGTATCTACATTTTTTAGCTTAGTTGTGKTTTTGTGATGTATACTTAATTAATTGTGTTATTCAGACAGATGAATTTGTGTCGGCTTATCACAACAGCCTGTCTCATGCTCATTTTTGTTTTAGTTGCTGTCAATCTCTCAATATTGGCATGGTTTTTATCTGGAAAACACATCTCTAGTAGTACTTCACAAAATTGCTCTCTCCTCTTTTCTCCAATATTCCATGATTTATTTCATTTGGAAGCAAGGTAGGGGCAGGTTTTAGAGCAAAGTGAGTGGGAATGGGAATTTATTGAGCAACAAGATGACTACTTGGAATATTGCCTTTG